AAAAAAAGCCAGTATACGATCCGAGAGAGATATCTCTAGATCTATACGAGCTGTCAGAATGTCGGCGAAAGCCGGCATGTGTGTCCGCTCTGCTTTGACTCTCAGACACCCGATATTAAGGTATCGGGTGTCTGAAAAAGGTTAACCCTTTAATTAATGCATCTAAAGTTAGGCATCCATTAATGAATGGTAAAAGCTGATTCTCAGCGGTTACCAGCCCTCTAAAGCAGCAAATAACTAGTCACGTACAGTGTACGTGACGAGTCATTTGGTCCCTTTGTGGCTGGACGTACAGTGTACGTCTCCTGTCACAAAGGGGTTAAAGTGTATGTCAAGGCAAAAAACAAAAAACAAACCACACACAGTTAAGTACATCCCGGCAATGCGCACATGCACACAACCCCTTAAAGACCTTGCAAAAAAATACTTGATCTGCCAGAAATGTACTCAGCTCTTAAAGTGACACTAAAGACTAAAGAGTTTAAATCTTAAAAACGCATTTAACTTCTGGGCCACAATACATCTATAGACGTTGGCCCGCAGAAGTGGTTAAAAAAAAAAAAAAAACACTGCAGCAGCCGTGTTCTTGGTGTCATTTTTAACAGCCAGCGATGGCTGTTAATGTACAAGCAATCCGGCGCCTATACAGCCGCCGGATTGTTTGTACCGTGCGGCGCCCCTCCCCGCCCCCCGGCAGGTTTCCCCCACAACGATTGGAGAGAGATTCAGCGGCTTCTAGCCGCTGAACTCTCCTCCGATCACTTCCGGTGTCACTATTTACATTCCCCAGCTCTTAGAGCCAGGAGAAGCAGATCTCTGCTTCCTCAGCTTCTTTGGGGACCTTAGGTGACATTAAGAGTCTGTTTTTGTGCACGGATACTGATTTTGGTGTGTTTTAACAATTGAATTGTGTATTTTTATCGGTTTAATATTAATTTGAGAAACATTTGCGCAATTATCGCAGGGCCTACAAATTTAGTATCACCATCTTTTTATTCTACCGGGCCTGCGCTTTCAGAAAATATATGGTTTGGGGGGTCTTTTACAAACGCTAGCAACGCAGCAGTTGAAAATCAAATCAATAGGAAAAAATTGCAGAAAATGCAAAAATGGCTTGGCCAGCTGATTTGAAAAATGTTCCGGAGGGCTTGGCAGCGAAAGGGTTAAAGTACCCCACTGTGGGGATCCCCATGGCCAAGGCAGGGGTCAGCAACCTGCTGAACACCCTGGGTAAAGTTGACAGACCACAGGGAAAAGTAACAAAAAACAAAAACAAAAATGCTTGGTGCACACAGCAAAAAACTAACAAAAAACCCCCACACAAGTGGCCCAGGGAAAATCTCCTGGGTAAAGGGAGGTAATGAAAGAGTAGATGGATTCCATTCAAACCTTTTGAATTCACAGGGACTGGTTATAAGATCTTAAAGTCCAATATTGGGCATACTCCTTGGACTTGGTGAACAGGTTGGAGTAAGACTCCTGTAATATTTCAGCCTCCGGAATGGCATTGTAGCATTTGCCAACGACATTGAACCCAGGTGTGGGAAATGTCCCTCTCTCAGTGTACCAAAGGCTAAAAGATGTCCCCCCATTTGTAAAAGTATGCCCCTTCACTGCAAAAAGGGCTTTTTCGTGGACTTGGAAATCCAGCCATTGCAGCAGAACTTTGTACCTTGTTTTGGTTAGGAACCCAAGGCCTGTGAAGGATGAAAGCATATTTTCTTAAGAAAGGGAGCAGAAGCCTTTACCACTGTAATATTAGAATTTTTCCTGTGAGGGAGAAAGGCACTTTATACTCCCCCATGCTCCTGTGACAGGCATGTCCTCTAAGAGTTTCTTACAGGAAGCGCCACAGACCAACACTTGAGAAGCAGAGGAGAGTCAGAGGCGCCTCTGCGGGCGCAGAACAGGAGGCCTACTTGTGGCTACTACAGCCAGATGCATCAAGGAGATCAGCCATCTTTCCTGCCATGGCGGCAGTGAACTCCTCTCCATTATAAATCAGAGGAGGGTGCCCTAGAGGAAGCAGAGTAGAACCTTGATGCTAGCAGTGAAGAGCATAAAAAGCACAGCATGGGACTAACAGAAATAGGGTCTCCAGTTAGAATTCTCGCCACAGCTCAGATTAAGCTGTGTAAACCCTGTGCCTATGATCCAAGATGAGCGATCCCCACAAAACACACGGTCAGAGGTGAGAATGGTGCCCCGTGTCCAGACATTGTAAGCAGTAAGGTGACCGAAGGCATGTAATAGCAGGGCGGTGAGGCTAATCCTTTGGGTCTATACAAAGTAGCAGCTGCAACAGAAAGTGCATGTCTAGCCAGAGAGAGAAGATGGCAGGTGCATGCACAAAACAGTACCCAAGGCAGGAGGCTGTGCAGGTGCAGTTCCTGGCCCCAAGGCTACATGGGAAACAAATGGTACCAAATTCAATTTCTTAAGTTGAACCACCACTAAAAATGCGACACTGAAGTTGCCCCAGAGCTACAGATTTAACCCTTTAGTGAACCGGGGGTATTTCCTGGGCATTGGTAGGTGCTAGCTCAGGCTGAGCTAGCACCTACTAATGCCCAGGCAATACCCCCAGTTCACTGAGGGAATTTTGGTCATTACCACAGATGTGCAGCAGTTCGCAAAGACATGACATCTGATCTTCGTCCTCCAGATGGATGGGAAACCCAAGGAAAGGGGTCTTCAGGGTCAGGGGTACGTACATGATTGACTATGGGTCCAACGACACAATGCAGGCCAGCCCCCCATCTTCCATCTGGTGGAGTTTAGGTCAGCCTGTCAAGGAGAAAAACTGAAACAGATAGTTGCTGAAGGCGCTTAGAGCAGTTTTAGGGAAACTTTCTAGAAAATCTCAGAGAATAATAGTGTAAAAAGAGAGGCAGGTTGGGAGTGGGAGGGGTTATGCAGGGCCGTCCTGAAGCGTTGACTGATTTGCAAGTGTCCAAGTACCTGAAGGTAGCTGCATAACTCAGTAGGTAATGGATTTAACTCCGTGTCCTGTGATTTACGGGCAAGAAACGGTATTTAACACTATAATAATGCTGCTGGATAGGCTGTTCGAAAACTAAAATATCCTAAAATAAATCTGTTAAAGCATCTTGCCGTTTTTAGGCTAGGTAGGCATAAGAACTGCTCTAGTGCTTCCAATCTTCCTAACTGTGGACCCTGCATGGGTAGAAATATGGATGAAAGTATTATTGCAGACAAAGGCTACAGTTCACATTACCTTTGACCACAATGCTGCATCAGTTTGCAATATAGCTCTTAAAGTGACATTAAGACAGCCCCCCCATGCTGCTTTAAAGGACTTACCTTTAATGATGCCTCCTGATCCGATCTTCTTACTTCCGCTTGTATTCAGCAATCCCTCCAGCGTTGGTGCCGATCTATAATCCAGTGCAGAATCCTCGGGTGCCACAGTGTCTGTCTGACGTGCATGCTCCTGGCTGGGTGCATTCACCTCCACTGTGTCTCTCCTCTTCTCCCGACAAAGATCTCTACTGAACATGCGCCCGCTCTCATCCTTCTGCGCCGCTGCTCAAGACGCTTCAGATCTTCAGACGGGAGAGAGCAGCAGAGACTGAGGTAAGTATTTACCTTTTTGGTAACTTTAAAAAAAAAAATGTTGTTGCATATATCTACTGCTTGCGAACAGTAGATATATGCAAAAAAATGAAAGTTTAATTCTACTTTAGGCACACATTCTGCTTTTGCGAGTATGAAAAATCAACCCTACATTTATCTCTGAGCAGGTTAAGGAACTGTGTAGGCTCAATGCTATAAAAAAGGGCCACGAAAATAAAATAAAAATTGTATTCTAAAAACTGTTTGGGGTTAATGTATGTAATTACAGTATTTAGTAAATTAACTCACTTTTCTGGATCATTATATATATATATATATACATATATACATATATA